TTTGTCAACAAAAGTGGACTTTTGTCGACAAAACTATACCTGCGTCCACACTGCCTTTGAGTTATGTCAACATAATGTTGACAAAACTCAGCAGTTTTGTTGACGTATGTAAACCTCATTCTACGAGGAATAACGCCTTTTATTGACAGAGTTCTGTCGATAGAAGGCATTATTGCATCTACACTGTCCTTTACGTCCACACTGTTATGTCGACAAAGCGGTTTGCTTTGTCGACAGAACTGGCTGGGAGAGAGACGACTGAATGTAGTCTAGACGCTCTTTGTCGACAGAAGCTTTGTCAACAGTATCTGTCGACAAAACTTCTGTCGACAAAACCCTGTCGTCTAGACGTACCCTAGGAGTCATTGTTGGTTTGTAACTGTGCGTTCCATTGCACGAGCTGATCTTCCATTTAGTTCAATACAGCTCGTGTTCATTTGGTCCTGGCCTCCGTTTCAGGGTCTACAAAACCACGCGCACTGGCCACACAACCCGAGAGTCCTCTCCTGGTGTTGGACTCTCTGTGTTAGCTCCCCCTGCCGCCTGAATTGCGACCAGAACCTTCATATCTCCCGGTCAGATACAATCAGTGATGAACCACAATCATCAGACCAACAATCCTGGTCGACAGGGTGGGGCACAGGCTGGCACACCGGGGTGTGAAATTGCACCAATGGGGGGAAGAGCTGGAATTTGTCCAGCCACCCATTACGTGAGTCTTTCTGATCGCGAGAAACTCCAGCCGATCGACCAATAGATTTAACGTGCCAAAAAGCAGATTAAAGGGGGAAAATGATCCCAACCCAGCAGTTCCTCTATGGTGGACTGGTGGTTTGGGGACTGGAAACCCTCCCCAAACCCTTCCCTCGCCATCTCTGCCACACTTCCCGTGAAGGTACTGAACCTTCAAATGTTAGTTTAAAACAGACCCACCATGGCCACAGCTGGACCAGGAGATGGGGTGGGTTGGTTAGTTAGTTAATTAGTTAGTTAGTTTCCACATCTTTGGTATGAATGACAAATGTCCCAAGTTGGTGTCAATAGGCACCAACTTCAATCTAGGCCAAGATCCCTGTAAGGTGGAAGCCAGTGAAATTCATCCGGGTTCCTTTGAAAACTTATGGGTGTCCGGCAGCTGGTGTTGCTGCTCCATCCACCCCACTCACTGCCCCCACTTCCCCAGGAAATAGTCCCTTCTCCTCTGCATACCCTGTGGCCAAGGCTCTGGTTTCTCTGCAGCCCCTGAGCTGAGCGGTGACCACGCCTGAGGATGTGGCTTCCTCTGTATCTTTCAGCACAGAGGTACCTCTTCCTCTCCTTCTGCACGAACGAAAACCCAGATCCCCACCCAGAGTGACTGGCTCAGCATGGCGCGGCCTCTGCTCCTGCCTCTTCTGGGTAAGTGCCCCCCTCGGCCCCCAGCCCCTCTGTGTGTCTGTCTGGAGACTTGCCCCACATCCAGCTCTGCACCCCCTTCCGCAGAGTCTCCCCAGGCCGGTGTCACCGCAGGTAAGGACAGCCTCTGTGGCTCATGGTGTGTTGGCGGGAGAGAGGGACTCTGCGAGTGAGGTGGGAGGAGAGACCCCAGGGTGCCCCCCTGTCACCTTCTGGTTGGGCCAGGCCTCCCCACTCACAGGCCCCACTCGTGGGACCTCCCCAGCAGTGGCAGTTCCAGTTCTGGGTCACACCCATGAGGGCAGGAAAGTGACCCCAGCAGATGCCTGTCTGGTAGCTCCATCTGAGGGGTCCCTGCCCCGACCACAGGGGAGAAGCTGCCCCCATCCCCTATGGGTGCGATTGGCCCCTCACAGGAAGTCCCAGTGGGGAGAGTGAGGGATGGGCAGGCCATGGAGTCCAAGCTCCCCCCTCCCCATGTCACTGAGCCCCCCAGGCATGGTCGATCAGTGTGGGGGGATCTGGGCTCCCACCGAGGGCTCAGGGCTCAGGGGCACAGACGCAGCCCTGCCCAGCAGGGCAGTAAAAGCAGGTTCTGCAGAAAACCCAGAGGAAATGTGATGGGTGGAAAACTCCCCCCTCCCTCCACCACATCCGCCCGAGCTTCCTTATTTCTGCTCAGTGCCTGCTCGCCACTGCTGGGCAGGTCAGCTGATGGGATCCCCCCTTCTTCTGCCCTGACCATGGCAGGAGGCCATGGGGCGCATGCCCCAATAGGATTGGGGGCTTGGCAGTGGAACATTCCTCCTTCACTTTTTGCACCCCCTGTCCCCCAGAGAAGGCAGGGTGCTGGGACTTTGGAAACCCCCCAGTGCGTGAAGGACACTGGCACGCTTAAGCCGAGCTCACCTGCTGTCTCTGCATGGTGACAGGGGATCTGGGGTTTCTGGGGCACATGAATGAGCCTCCCTGTCCCGGCTCTGCTCCCCATGTCCCATGTGGAGATCTCCAGGGCTCCTGCCCCCAGAGGGGTGGCGAGCGTTTTATGCACTCGGGAGCAAAGGCAACATTTGCACACCCCTGCCGCCGTGCAATGGGAAACCAAACTTGGTGCATGGCTGAACACACACACAGAGTGCCTGTTTGCTGAATGTCAGCCCATCTTCCCCTGTTCTTTCCAGCCTTCCAGCTCATAGCTTGCTCGCCACAGTCTGTCTCCGTCGCTGGGGAAGCCAGGATCTTGATCTGCTCCGCTGCTGGGACAGACGACACGACCGGAATCCAGGTTGCCAGTGATGGCCGGAAAATTCCCTCCAGCAACATCACCCGCCTGGGTCTGTTCCCAGCCCCATCTCTGGCCATTTGGGGATGCAGAAGAAGGGGAGGTGGCAGGGACCTGGGGATGGAGGGGAACCCCAGGTGAGATACAGAAGCTGCCTGAATTTATAGCAGGAGCCCTTCAGCTGGGTTGTTTGACGGAAACCCATTTTTCCTCTCACCTCCACAGTCCTTC